GGGGGCTTAAACAGGACTGAAATTTGTAACATAGCTGTTGGGTATCATACAAATTGGGCCTGTCTCTATCTGCAGTGTGCTGTTTTGGTTTAATGAACGTGTAGTTTGCATTGTCATTTGAGATGTAGATTTCTTCAGTCACTGCATAGACTTCATGGTGAATGTATCATAATTTAGCACCTTTTTCTCTATTGGCAGACACCTAGGTCTTTCCCACTTGGAGTTATTATAAATAGTGCTATGATGAACCTCCCATATGTATGTCTTCATGTACATTTGCAAATATTTCTATAAATGCATGGAGGCAACATTTGCTTGATTATATTTACATTAACAATATTGATTACTACTTTCAAATTATTTCTTTTTGGATTTTTCAAAGAGGTTTTCCCCCATATCCTTATGAACATTACATATTGGCATATGCTATCTCCTTGATTTAATTTGCATTTATTTACTTTCTAATGAAGTTGAACATCTTTTTTCATTTGCTGGACATTAGTATTTCTCTGTTAAATTCTTAATTCCCTTTACAAGGCATGCAAATCTTTGAGATGAGAAATCTTTTTTATGTATTAGGAAGAGTCATATTAATATTTTCTCCTAATCTGTAATTTCATTATAGCTTCACTGTGAAATATTTTGTTGTCCTAAAGATTTAGAAGTATTATTTATTTTAATTAATTTTCGTAGTTCTAAGCACTATACTCAGGGCTGCATGCATGCTAGCCCAGAGCTCTGCCTCTGAACTCTCCCTCTAGCACCTTGACATAGATTTTTATGCTGATAGGTGACTAATTTAAAACTTGTGAAGTCTGTGAATTTCTCTCTGGCCTATGACTTAAGTATAGCTTATATTTTCTTTTAGCACTTTTGTAGAATACATAGACCTTTCTCCTTATCATCACTACCTAAACAATACAGATAATAACCATTTGCATTGGGCATTGTAATTAATCTAGAAATATAGAAATGACTTAAATTATGGGAAGAGGTATGTATGGAAATTCTAAGCAATTTTATAGAAGGGACTTGTGTATTACCTATTTTGTAACTATAGGGAATGGGAGGTCCTTGACCCACCCCTAACAGATACCCGGGGCAAATACATACTTTTTGGTTCTTTGACAATCTGAATTCTATTTTTGTTCATGATATAAAGTGGGAGTATTCTTCACGTGGATATTTTATTTTTTTCCATATTATTTAATTAAAACACCATGGTAACTAATTTGAATAGAAAAGGCTGAAACAGATTAGGTATAAAAATAAATTACCCTAGGGTCAGAAGTGTATTTCCTTAATGAAGATTTATTTTGTTTTGATATCCAGTAAGATTCATTTCCATCTTTTACCTTCTTTTTCAAATAGCTTGTTAGTTTCTGTAAAATATGTACGTTAGATTTTAATCTAGGTTATCTGTATTTGTAAGTTAAATTCAGATAAACTGAAATTTACAGTAATTTGGGAGCATGGGTAGTTTTATAACATTAAAGATTTTAATTCTGAAATACAATATGGTATTTGTGTTCTTATATTTTTGAATGTTCACTTTATTTTATAGAGAAGGAAACTTTTGCACATTTAAAGATAATTACTGAAAGTTTTATTAATTTCTTTTTTGTTATATTTTCTAAAGCTATTCATCTTCAAAAATTAACATTCTTTACAGTACTCTAGTTCTAATAAATTTTCTTTTCAATGTCTTGGATTTTACAAGTAAATGACTTTTCAGTCTGGGAAAAATAGATGGGTTATGACTTTTACAATTATATTTGACTTTTTTCTGCATGTGCATATAATTTACCAGACTATTAGCAAGCTAAAGATGAGAAATAGCTTGCATTATTTATTTTCTATAGGACATGTCGGTATAGACATGCGTTTGCTAGATTTTACAAAAGTATTTTCCAATATACAGTCTTACAGGTTTTGTTTGTTTTACGTAATTTTATAATATCATAAAATGAAGCAGCCTAATTTGGAGGAAGAATTTTTGATAACAATGTTTAAGATCCTTTAAAAATGAGGAAAATATTTATCTAAATATTCTATACTTCACATATACATATGAATACACACGTACAAACACATTTGTTTACTATATTCTTTAATTATGTACTTGGGCTTACTGAAAAATGTATGAGTGGTAAATGTGAAAGGCAAAAGTTTTAGTTATACAAGTAGTGATTTCCAGGCAAGACATGTAAGACCCAGCTCTTAATATGTGTGTGTGTGTGGGGGGGGGGTGGTGGAGGTGTTGACATTAATTCCCTAGGCATGTTTTTTGAAAATACTCTCTGCTTTTCTGCTATCTACTTTTTAAAAATTGTATAGTCTTTTATTTGGAATACACATTTTTCCTCTTCTGCAGTTAAGTTTAGGAATTCCTGTTTGTTCTTTGAGATTCAAGTCAAACATTCATCGTTCCACAAAATCTTTCTTTTCTCAGGTAGTGAAAAAAATTGATGCTCCAATCTTCTGTTATATCATCTGCCATTCACATTACACAGTAGTTGTTCATTTTGTTTTCTGTGTTCCTTCAGAACCATGAGCTACTTAAGACTGACTGTGTCTCCTTGTCTAACATAGAGTTGGTACTGTATAACTTTTTGTCAAGTGAGTAAATGTGAAGAAATGATTTCCAAGCATATAAGAGAAGTGAAGGATAAAAGGGTTAAGAGAAAATCTTAAGTCTAACAGTTTAAGGATAACAGAGAATTCTACGGGAGAGGCCTCATTAGCATATTTCCTAAAAAGTTACTTAAAAGTACTAACTCCAAGGTGTATGAAGTATGCAAAATGGGATGAATATTTAAATTTTTCACTAAATTACAGTAAAAGACACATTACTATTAATCTCACTCAGAATGCTCTCTCTTTCTTTAGACACATTTATTCCATTTTTGTGGTCCTGTTTTTGTGAGCATCTTCAGTCCATTGTCACATCTGCCTTGATGTCCTGAATCAATTCAGAATTTATCTTTTGTAGTCATTTTGATGCGGGAGAAGGCCCGGAAGCTGTGCAGTACTGGACAAGTGAACAGAGTGGATGAAGACACACTGTAATGTTTTCCTGTGCCTTTCTGTTGAACGGCACTTAGTGGCAGCGTTTACCGTATTATTGATCATGTCTCATAAAGACAGATGAAAGAGAACTTCCAGAACTATGTCACAAAGTGGCAAGAATGACAGGGTGGTATGTTGGAAACAACATGGAGTATTTTGAGGGGGGTTAATGGCAATGTGTCTTTTATTATAATAATTTTTTAAATGTAAATATTCATCATGCATTTGATCATATTTTGTATACATCTACATTTTGATGCAGCAGTGTTTACTATTATAAAGAAACATGGCAGAGACCAAAGAAATGATCCTATAAAATTATGTTGAAAATCAGTAAACAAAGCAGTATCCACTTAGGGACAGTCCCTACTAAGGAAATGATTTTGAGAAGTACATGCAGTTAGGAACTATACCACATTTGCTTCTATATAAAAAATATGTACCATGGATTTATAGATTATCATATATAAAATACAAAACTTGGCTGATACTGCATAATCCTGCACTCTGGAAAGGTGAAGTGGAAGAATCTGAAGATCAAGCCTATCCTGGGCAACACAGTGATTCAATGAGAACCTGCTTCAAAATTTTTTTCAAAAGTGGGTCTAGGAATGTACCTCTGTTTAAGATCCTGCATTCAATGCCTAGTACCACTACAAGAAGAAGAAGGAGAAGGAGAAGAGGAAGAAGAAGAGGAAGCAGAGGAAGAGGAAGAAGCAGCAGAAGCAGAAGAAGAGAAGGAGGAGGAAGAAGAGGGAGAGGAGGAAGAGGAGAGGAGAAAGAAGAGGAAGAAGGGGGAGGGGAGCCTGTTTTGTAGTGATAATGTGTCTAAGACTTAATGTGTGTAAGACTTATCTGGAATAACAGGACCAGGTTTGAAGGCAATAGATGTAATTTCATCTTCCATTTTCTGTTCTATTTTTTATTGTTACATTTTTGTTGTGTTTTGCTTTTTGGCAGTATTGGAGATTGAATCAGGGGTACTGTATCACTGAGCTACTTTCCAAGCCTTTCCCAAACTTGTGATCTCTGTGTTTGTGTGTACTTTTTCAGAAGTTAGAAGAGGTTTATAGAGCTTTTTAAGGCACAGTTTAGATCCTCAGTAATAGTAAAACCAGTTTCAATTGAAAGTGTCAGTTTTTGTCATACCTAATAATTAGGCTTGATAAATTATGCGTTTCTTTTAAGTATTCTTAAATATTGAGAGTGACTTTCAAGTAATACGATATTTTAACTTAAATAAGGACAGTAAAATTTCCTATGACTGTGAATGATTTGGGTCAGAAATAAAGAATTGTAAAGGTCCTATTATTTCAGTAGCTTTCAAGCAATATTTCAACAGTCATTTTATAGAAAGCTCCAATTAAAATTTAACTTAAATTTGCTACACATAAAATGAGAGATGGCAGGTGGGAGCTGTTTAACATAGCTCAGGATAATACATGTTAGAAATCAGTTTTGGTGATTCTGTGATTAAAGCGTAATTCTAGTAGTGACACAGTACACTTTTGGGGCTGGTTTGAGCCATGTCATGAAGTAGGGTCAGTGTGAATGTTTGCCTAGGTAGCTTCAATGTGTATTGGTTTTATCAGGAAAGAGCAGAATGCTACTGTTATTATGGAATATTCAGAATGTATAAAAGGCGATGAGTATTGCTTCTCAGATAATGAAGTCTGTGGTTATTCCTTTTAAAAAAATTATTAAAATTGATAATATATGATATTTTAAAATTACTATTATTTTTATCCTGGTATAGGTTTCTTTTTCTTAATGTCTCTATTAATTTTAAAACCAAAGTAGTTGCGTTCAAGACATTTATCACTCTATTTTTTAAAATACATAGTTCTGGCTGTGTAGAAATTTTCCGTTGTTTTTCCTTTAGAAAGTTGGCCTTTCTGTGGCATCATTGTGTTTTTGACCTTTTATTGCAGGTTTTCAACACTTACTCCAATGAAGACTATGACAGGAGAAACGACGAAGTCGACCCGGTGGCCGCATCTGCCGAGTACGAACTTGAGAAGCGCGTAGAGAAGCTGGAGCTTTTCCCAGTAGAGCTGGAGAAAGGTACTCAGTGACAAACATAACTGGGGTGACACCACTCTGTATTTCCAGCATTGTCATGTGGCTGTCTTAGTGATGTAGGGTGTTTCCCCAAGTGTAGCCTTTTCTCTAAGGGCTGGATAAAGTTTTAACTCACAGGTGGCTGGTTTATTATCTTTAAAAAATAGTTTATGTAGACTCTGGGTGGCAAATAGATTGAAAGATTTCTGTGTCTCTCCCACTCCAAACTTGGCCCCATCTGCTCCAGCTCAACCTAAGTAAGAGGTGAGGATGGGGGAGGCCTGGGTGACGCTCTAAGCTTGTTGGTTTCCTGAAAAGCCTGCTTACAGGTAAGAAACCAGAGTGAACCAGACCACAGGAGCAGTTGGGGCAGAAAGTTGTTTGTGTCTCCTGGAGAGTGTGTGTTTTGTTGTTGTTTCTTGATGTATAGCGAAGTCATGATCTGGCCCAGAACGTGGTAGGAATGGAAATGCCTTCTAATGGTAAGGACATTTAGCTGGACGGCAGTGAATTCATTCCAGGAGGACTTGGCTAGTAGGCCTGTATCCTCTCTCTGAGGGCAGAAGGTTCTGAGGAAGCCAGAAACACTTTCCACTGACCTCTCTCTTCCTGAGCTGATGGCCTCTCTGCTGCAGTAACCACTGATGATGTGCTGAGAGACTGCTGTGTTTATCATCATGTAAGAGGGGGCCCAGAAACCTGGCTGTGACCCAGTGAACAGAAAACTCTGCCAAGAGGTCTCTGGAAAAAAGTGGAATAAAAAGATAAATTGAATAACAGAAACAAATGGAAACTCACTCAAGGATATTCAAGGATATGACTTTAGAAAGGCTTTCTTAAGCAAATCAGCAAACAACAATAACATGGCTAGCTTTTCCTTTGCTGGACAAAATCCCCAGCTTGCCCAATTTAAAGGCAGAGAGATTTGATTTAGCTCAGTTTCAGAGGTTCCAGGTTATTATAGTTGTGGTTGGAAAGGGTAAGGGATACAATTACAGTACAAATACCAACTGATCCCGCATTTAGGTATAGGCTGGGGATATCTTAATATTCAAAAATAAAATGAAAACCTTATAAAATACTAGACAATAAAATCTCAACATGTAAGTACATGTACCAACTCCCCATGATAAATATAATCATTATGTACTACAAATACATACTAATAAAATTTTTAAAATCTCAACACACAATTGCAAAGGCATTTGAAGAGGCCAAGTGACAAGACTAGTGTCAGACTTATTTGCAGTACCAGAAGCAGGATGATATATCTATAGTTTCATAGGCCGCTGAGACTAACAAGGACAGTAATCCAGGAAAGAAAGGGAATCCAGGGAAAGAAATTTATTTGCTGATGTGTAAAATTAATAGAACACATCAACTACATACTTTCCCTGTGTAATTTACTGTCCAGATTTTTTATCACAGATAAAAAAGACAAAAAAGAGTTGTTCAAAACAGCACAAGTAAGGAAAAAAGGTGAAAATTACATGAGAATTAAGCATAAAATTACATGAGTAAAGAAGCTATTGGGAAAAAAATTAAAATAAAATAGAAGCTGTGAGAAAACCAGTTTTTAAATATGCTTGACTAGTTACTTTCATTGAAAGACATTTTCTTGGGGCTGGAAATTTTATCAGTGGCGTAAGCACCTGCCTGGCAAGCACAAGATCATGAGTTTGATCCCCGGTACCAAAACAAAACAAAACACCTCCACCCAAATAAAACATACATAAATAAATAAAACTTTTCTTTTGAAAGTATTAAAAGAAAGTGAAATAATGATGCTTACATTTTTCATATATTTAAGAATGTAAGAACCATTCTTAAAGTTCATACAAAAAAGCTAGAAGTGGCTGGTCTTTGTATCGCTAATAAATATAAAAAGTGAGAACAGTTCAAATAGTTATCAGTTGTGAATCTGTCTACTATAGCATATCTAATCAATAAAATGTTGCTCAGCAGTGAAAATTGGTAAATCACACTTTATAGGCTTTAAATGTTATTTATACAAAAATATAATTGAGGCAAAATAAGCAAATCACAGGGGTCATTTAGTTACAATTTCATTTATTTAAATTTCAAAATTAGAAAAATTTAACAGTATATGCCAAACATGGTAGTGCACACCTGTAATTATTCTGGAGGATGAGGCAGGAGGATTGAAAGCTTGAGCCCAGCCTAGGCAACTTAGTGAATTAGTAAGATTCAAACAAGCGAACAAAAATGTACATGTATATTTTTCCATTCAGAATTTTAATATATTTTGCAAAATATCCTTTTGCAATCAGCTTTGCTGGCAGATGTGTTTGAGCAGCAACATGTGGACTCATCCTGTCTTTAGGAACATATGCATAAGGAAGATCAGAGGAGGTGGGGGCAGGGCAGTGCTGGGTCCTTGCCAGGGCAGCCACAGGAATTAGAGCCTGTAGGTGTGTTCGGGCTGGCCTTTGCTTGTACTTGACTCGCATCCCCTGACTAGAAAAGAGGGGAGGTGGCTGAGAACAAGCATCATTTGATCTTTGGGGCGGGAGTCAGTTTTGCCCTTCATCATTCCTTCTTGTAGACAGTCTGCACCAAATTCATGGTGGCTGTAGTTAATATTGCTTTTCCCACAGCAGGTTTTCAACCCAAAAATATCTTAAGTAACTTTCTAATTAGATCAGTGAAAAGAGTTATGGGAAGAAGAAGAATGATTTTAGGATGGCCTGAGTTCAGATAGGGAAATAGATTAAAAATCAAGAAGTAATTTGCACAGAGGGCCTTACAGGAATTTAATGACCTGATAGTGCAGAGATTCCACATTTGAGAGGAGCCCTTTGCATTAGAAAAGGTTCACTTACAGCTCCTTGTTGGTGTGGCATGTAACAGTTCATCATGCAGAGGAACCCTGTAAGTATAGTGTGAGCAAGAAGTCAGGCTGAACACTGATTGCCCTGAGGTTTCATCAGAGGAGAAACCCAGGGCATTGTCAGTATAGTGGGGTCTTATGATCATCTCTTAAACGGCACCAGAAGAATACAGCAGGGTAAGGTTAGGTGGATGTAAACACTGGAAGGACTGCAAGAAGACAATCAGACCTTAGGAAAATTCTGTGAATGTGATGATTGCACAAGAATTTAGCCATCACTAACCTTGATACATGCAGGAAAATTCATGTAGGAAAGAAGAAACCCTGCACACATAGAAAGCATGGAAGAGCCTTCAGCATATATCTAACCTTCACGTATACACGAAAACTCATTCTGGGGAGAAACCCTAAAACTGTATGTAAAATGCATTAGTAAGAGAAATTCTCTTGATGAACTTCAAGGTGTTTATGACAGAGAAACAATTTCAGTGAGATACATATGAGAAATCACATGTATACAAACATTCCAAATGTAATGAATGAGAAAAATATTTTGTGATCTCTCATATATTAGTCAACATTAAAGTTTTCACACTGGAGAGCTGTACCTGTACATAGAATCAGTACAAAAGTGTCTTCAGCTGGGGTTCCTATTGGAACATTCGTCCTGGGAGGTTCCTTTAACAAGCTGGGCATGATGGCACATGCTTGTATTCCCAGCACTTTAAGAGACTGAGGTAGGAGGGACTCAAATTCAAGCACACTGTGCAACTTAGTAAGACTCTGCCTCAAAATAAAAATATTTTTAGAAAGGGCTTAGGATGCTATATAAATGCTATATAATTCCCTTGTAACCCCCCAAAAAAGATTTTTACCACACATATGAGCAAAAAAATACTATTGCCAGTCAATATTTGTTTTAACGTATCTTGAATAAAAAGGTATGATTGTGTTAGTTGTACTTAGAGCAGAAGTTCTACTTAAGGTAAACATGATGACCAGTAATAATGAGATAAACCATCTGCAAAGAAATATTAATTCTGAATATTTCATGAAGTAAATATTATTGCTGAAAAATCTTTTAAAAGAATGAAGCATTCTGTTGTGTGTGTAGGCTAGTTTTCCTGTAATCTCTGTTAATGCCATTAGTTTATCACTAATAATCTATTTTATGCTGTTTTATATGCTATAATTAACACTGATAAACAGTAGTCAATAAGCAATAACTACAAAGACTTTGAGGTTTTCAGAAAATAACCTTGAGTCTAACCAAAAAATGCAGCATATAAAATGATGTGTCTTTTATATCATCAGTGTTAACCTTCATATGTACATTCATGGTAGGGACAAAGGAAATAGGATTTTTAAATGAAATAGAAAAAAACCGATATTCCTCACAGGGCCAATAAAGTGAAAACAAAGGTAAGTGCCTATCAGAAGAGAGATGGTTTATTGCATTGTGGTAGCTTTTCATCATGAAGTATTATGCAGTTATTAGAAATGATTTACTGTTATGTCAGTTAATATCTATCTTAGTCATTTTTAATTACTGGAACAAAATACCCAGCACCCACAAGGTAAGAGAGGAGAGGTTTATGTTGACTCATGGTTTGCAGAGGTTTCAGCCATTGTTCTCCACGGTTCAACAGCATGGTGGAAGGGCCTGGTGGAGAATCTGTTCTCCTCATGGCATGCAGGAAACAGAGAGAACCGAGGGAAGAGCTGGGAGGGGAAGCATAAGCTTCCAGGTCATGCCTACAGTGATCCATGTCTTCTTGCCAAACCCCCCCTCTTGTAGCAAGTTAGCTATAACACAGAGGGCCAACCTAGGATCCTGTGAGGCTTAAGGTGGACATTTAGATACAGACCACAATAGCCATGAAGAATTTCAAAAAGTAAGCCACAGAGAGTAGATACAACTTCACTGGAGCAAAGGAAGAAGAAACTGCGTATATGTCTGTGTGCATGATATGTATGGGTGTAATTATTTATTGATAAGTACATGTACTTGTATAGTATCATAATAAAAAGTACTTATAGACTGATACTATCTTATTAACATGAATGGATAAGTAAAAAAGAAAACTACATAAATAAAGGAGAAATTCCTATGTGAATCACATTTGTTTAAAATTATATGTGTGTTGGAGTATGTGTGTGTTTAGGTCTAAAATAAATTGATAAGATTACTTAGTTTGTGCTTTAAGTTAGGTAGATTGATTATTCAATAACCAAACTGTCTTCTCTGGGATCACAACAAATTACCAAAAATGATAAACTCATGAGCCATTTGGGGAATCTTACTTGATAACTTTTCTCCAGTATAGAAAAATTTTGCTGAGGGCAGCACTCATGTCCTATCCAAAAAGAATAACAAGATTAGAAGCAACAGATAGGACATACATGCTAATGTTACACCACCAGAACCAGTGTAAAACCCAACTGTTTTATGATTTCTTTTTCATAGATGAGGATGGCCTTGGTATAAGCATTATTGGAATGGGTGTTGGAGCCGATGCTGGGCTCGAGAAGCTGGGAATATTTGTCAAGACAGTAACAGATGGTGGTGCTGCTCAGCGAGATGGCAGGTAAGGTCATTATTGTTGCTAACTACTTAAAAAACTCATAGTGAACTTTCCTGGAAATTTATTTCAGTGCTATCTTTCTTCCTTTCAGTTCTTTTAAAAATAATCTCAGAGTGTTTCTCAAATAGGGAAAAGTGAAAAATGTTTGTATTTCTTGTTTCTGGGAAGGACACTTTTGTTAATGTATCTTAGGTGGGCTGATTTGTATGTTTACCTTGTTATCCATCCATCCATCCATCCCATCCATCCATCTGTCCATCTAGTGGGAAGTGAACAGTGTATATATTTGAAGAGCTTGTCCTATGAAGGTCAGAATATAGTTCTACTTCAGGAGTGTTAAAACAAATAGTAATAATATTGGCCCTTTTGAAAATGACAGGACTATTATCATGTTTCCACCAGCAATACAGAAGGGTAACTTTCTTCTCTGATAGCCTTGCCAGCATTTGTTATTGTTTGATTGCTTGATGATAGTCATTCTTTCTGGAGTGAGATGAAATCTCCAGTTGTTTTATTTGCATTTCTCTAATGACTAGCGATATGGTCCATTTCTTGATGTATTTGTTGACCATTTGTACTTCTTTTGTGAAGTGTCTATTTCACTTGCCCAGTTTTTGATTGACTCGTTTGCAGAGGATTCTAATGTTTCTGTGTTCTTTATGTATTGTAGATATTAGTCCTCTGTGTGAATAGTAGCTGGTAAAAAAAAGTTTTGATTTCTTTAAACATCTTATCAAGAAATTATAATGCTATGTTTAAGTAATTATTTAATCTATGTTGAGACCAATGAAAGTTTGTCTTTCATAATCCTAAATACATGTATGGATATACATGGATTTTTGCAGAGTACTAAATTAATTTAGGTAAATAAAAAAAAATCTCCTATATTTTCTCTTCCATGTGTAAGGACCACATTTTGTTGTTTTGTTTTGTTGTGTTTGCTTCTTTTGATGCTGGGAGTTAAACACAGTATCTTGGTATAAAGCTAAGTCTTCTGACTTTTAATTTTTTTAAAGATTTGCAATAGGCTCTTGCAAAGTTAGTGAGTTGCCTGAACTGGGCTTGAACTTGCAGTGCTCCTGTCTCACCTCCCAGAGTGCTAAGAATAAGGAGATCCACCCCTATGCCGGGTCTCGCCCACATCTTAGTTGGTAGCTTAATTCCCATAGCATGAGGTATGGTACCTGGTCCAGAGCAAGCCTAAAATGAAACTTCTGAGTAAATATTCATTTGGCTGCATGTGTATCATACTTAAAATGGGATATGAATATTTTGTGTTTCAAGTGTTACTTCTTTCCAGAGAAGTTAAGGAAATAACCTCTTTGCTCTGTCAATGAGTTATACAATGGTAACAGTATTTCCACTTAGTAATTTGTCACCTTTCTTCCACGTAAGCTAAAATTTGTCTATAAAATATATCTGATTTGTTATTACTTTGAATGACAAACTTTAAAGGGCATTTTAAAGGTGATGAAAGCAATTCTTACAGTATTAAAAGAATATTAAAGTTTTATGAAACATTCCTCTTAAATAAATTGGCCACAGTCCAAACTAAAATACAAATGATCAAAAAACCAAGAGGCCAAGAGTTTCAGATTCACTACTTAAGTAGTTACTGGTGTTTCAAACACAAACCCATTTACTTTTTTCCTCAATTGTTTTTAAAATTAAGTTTGTTTTCTATTACTTTATTTAGTGATTATTTTCTCCACCATAGTTTCATTATTTTTACTAATATTAGATCATTTTTATCAGTCCTAGTATTTACTTCCTCAGTCTTTTTAAATGTTTACCTAGTATATTATTCCTGCTGTTGTAATTGTAATAAGTGCTTAGTAAATACCTCTGTGAATATACTACAGGTAACTTGCTGTGATTAACAGAATCTCTAGAATCATGTGAGTAGGAATTTTAATTCTATCCTCTCCAGTTACCAGCTGTAGAATGTTACAAAAAATGAGTCAATTTTCATGTTGTCTACATCACAGGATTGTTGTAGCACTAAATAAACTTGTAAGGAGCATAACAAAGGGCTGTTTCTATGTGACCCTGTTCTTGAATGTAGAAGAACCAAGCTTGACATTTAGGAAAATGTTATTTTGGGGAACATCTTATGAAAAACTATCATAGGTGTACAGAATATGTACAGAATCATAAAGTCTTGGAGGTTGAAGATACTGCAGGGATTTTACAATCTGTACATTTCATGTTAATATGTTTAAGGGAATAGTGTGTGTGTCAGAAAAGAGAAAATGTCTTTTATTGTTAGACCTGTGACAGTTTTAGTATCTTTTAAAATTTTTATTATTGTTAACTGGTGTGCTCATTTGCACAATATTTAAATGTTTACTATTTATAAGGTATCACATACAAAAATTATACAGAGAATTTCTGTTTCTACTCAGTATTTTTTGAAGTATGATATTTAACTTAATGATACAGACAACTTGTATATTAAGATCTTACAAAATAGTATGAAGAATATGATGCTATTCTTGTATGGATATGCATTCTGTTTATTCATCTCTTTCTCAAAAACCCTAAAATTACACATACCAAAATGTTGAGTGTTTCTAATAAGTAACATTATGAAATTTCAGCTAGTATGTAATATTTAATGTTTCTAAAGAAATTGAATATGTGATACTTTGTAAAGTTTTAAAACCATAACTATAGGTAACAAAATTATCATCCTGGGGAGGTTACTACCCTTCAGATTTCATTTGTTGACAAAATTAAACGTTCTGGGTTAATTGTTCTCTATAGTTCCTTTTATCTTTGAAGGGATAAGATTTTCTATTTTAGTTTTCTAGCTCGTCTTAATTTCTTAATGCTTATTTCAATTTAATCTCTGATACAGTCGCATTTTCTTCCAGGAACATTAAAAAGTACTGTGTTTGGGTAATATATTTTATAAATAAAATGTGTATATACAGATATATTTTCACATATATTTCTTTTCTCTCCTTCTCACTTGCCCCCATATAACAAGTGTTTGCATTACGGTTGTTTTTAGCCCCTTTCAAATGGCTCATAAATTCTTACCACACTTTGAGACCTTTCAAAGATTTACTATGGGTACTTATCTTCTGAGTTAGCCTGTATGGTTGTTATTATTTTTTATTCTTTCCTGCGTGTATTCTTATTCCTTGTTCTTTCCTGCTATGTCCTGCATTCTACAATTTCTTTTATAAAGATTCTGTGTCTTTGCCTTCTCTTACATGGTCTTATCACAGAAAATGCTCAATAAATAGCTCTTAAACGAGTGAATCTTCTGTTTTGTTTTCTTTTGTTTTTGAGACAGGCTCTCCTTACTGTATTGTTCAGACTGGCCTTGAACTCACTGGATAGCCCAGGCTGGCCTTGAATTTGAAGTGATCCTATTGACTCGGTCCTCCAAATGCTGGGATACAGGTGTGAACCACATGCCTGGGGCTTTAGTCACTTTCAAAACATTTATTTGAGCCTAACATAGTGCTTCACTTTAGTTTTTTTTTTTGTGTTACTCAACTGATTGGTAGAGTAAGTCACATGTATAGCTAACAAGGATATTAATAATGCTGTGCTAAAAAGGCGAATTAAAAATATACTTGAGATGGTCTTCTGTGATTAATTTTCAAGTTTTGCATTCATTTTAAACATTATTCCATTCAGTTTTATTGGAGGAGATACCAAACAGGGGACTAAGGTATCCTTATGCAAAAAGAGATGAGGATTTTGTTCCTGACCTTTTTTGGGTAATACAACCTGTAAAACAGACAACAAGTTCTGTCCTTGTGCTTATTCTGTGGCACCCTCATTTTCTCAGGACTCATCTGTACCCCTGGGGACCCTCAGGCTCAGAAGAACCCCGTATAGAAGTCACTACTGTAATTGTATCTGTCATAGTCTCTTCACTGATAGTTTCCTTTCTCTGTATTCACTCCTTTTTTCACTTTTCTAATGTCATACTTTCCTTCAGGATTTGGGATATGCATGTTTCATGATGATCTCTGTTGGCCGAAGTTTATCAGTGTTGCTACAGCTGGTCTCTGAGCCATTCACACTTGGTTCCTTGTTGAACTCACCTATGAGGTGGAGTTGGGTTCCCCTCTCTTTCTAGAAGCATCATGTAAATAAGTAACTAATCGAGTAACATTAAACAAACCCTAGAGTAGTCCAGCTTACATATTTTTATTAGCTTCACACATATCGAATGTGATCTTTTAAGTTTTGAATTGAGAACAGTGATGTTGCCCACACTCGCTGACTATAAGCAAAAGGAAATTATTGAGGAATGGCCAGGAAAAGATGGTTATATACAAACTAGTGGGTTCCTTTCTGTACATTCCATTCACAGTGTATGCAGGGGAAACAGGCTGTGCCCACTGCTGTTCTGGAAAAGGTTTGGAAAGTCCAGGTCTCCCCTAGATGTGTATTCTGGAATGCAGACATGTGTCCATTTAGTTTCCATCCCTGGGATTCGTTGCTTGTCTTTCCCATGCTTTTCATTATAGCCAAGCTTTGAGAGATGAATTAATCTCACTATGTGTGAGGTTGTATTGAAGTTGTCTCTAACAGGGTAAAAGGTGCAGTATGAGCCGCTGTGCTGGTTCTTGGTGTGGTGGATGGTGGGAGGGGCCTCTGGGGAAAGTGGGCCTGGGCTGCTGCCCTTTTTAAAACCAGTTTTCTTCTTCCTCCAGTTTTTTTTTTTTTTTTTTTTTTGGTCTTCTTATATGTGTTTTCAGTTTCTTAAGCTTGTCTTCAACTTAGTCATGCAATCTACCTTTATAAAAGCCCCTCAGTAGCACCTTCTGCAGAATTTCCCTTGTTTCCTTCTTTCTGTCCTTTAAAAAATACATACATGCATACATCCTACATAGATACATACATAAAGATGTTTTTTATTTCCTTGTTTTTATAGTATACCAAATTTAAAATTTTTCCCTAATAGTAGATTACTTTTGAAATGAGAAAAACTTTAAAAAACAAAATTTCTTTTTATCAAAATAATAATCAAGTAGTATAGAACTTTTTCTTAATGCCATCTGTATTCTCCCATTGTGTAGGATCACCAGTTCAGTGTTAGGTTCTCTCTTTTTCACATTAGTCTTTGGTCTCTAAATACAAAGAATAAATGGAGTAAATGTTGTCACCGTTTCTGTTGTAGGGACTGCTTTGTAGCTTGGATCTCTTCTGTCTTCTTTGTGAGCATTTCCAGTGCTCTTTCCTTCATGGAGATGTGAATTTCCATTTAGTATCTTGAGCCTTCTTCCTGAAAATTTCCTTTAACATTTTATCACCATGTGGCTGGTGATTGACATCTTTGTGTTCGTTGTTTGGGTGCTCACCTCACCCTGGTCTGAGGTACAAGTGTGCATGAACAAACAAGTGTGTTTGCACAAGACTGTGTATTAATTTCTTGTTGCTTATATTTTGGAGAAAGCATCCTTTTAATTTTGGGTTATAGATTATAGATCCTTGAGTCCAGAATGTTTAGCCTGGTTATTTCTCCATTGTACATATGTACATGTCTAGTAATAAAAAGCAGGTAACTGTAATACATCAGTCTAAAGAAAAACTTTCTAAATCATTTCCCTACCCACTTAAAAATGTTTCCATCGGTTGTCAAATTAGCATGTGTCATGACATTTTAAAGGTATAAGTTTGTAAAGTTACATGTCCATGGATGAAAGTTTGGAAAAGATAGAAAAATGGAAAGAAGAAAGCCTTTATACAATTCTAGGGTTAGGCTTAGGATCATCTAGTGTTGGCTTCTATTAAAATTATGTTGGTGAATTTTCTTTTAGGTTTTTCTTTGTAAATATGCCTTTATTAACAAAATAAGGAGCAACTGGATGTTCTCCTTTACGTGCAGGAGTCTACTGACCCTTTAAGCCCTAGTGCTTGAAATACAGCCAGAACCTAGCCCTATATATCCTAGATTTTATCCTATTCATTTTTGCTATACATCTTAGCAATTGCACCAAATACATCTTTTTTTTTTTCTTTTCTTAACAAATTGAAAATTTCAGCCTTTTCATTTAAAGCAAGCATTTTATGACTTCTCTGTGGTGCTTTTGAATTGTCAGCGTTCCTGGTTGTGTGCTTTTGGACCCTTCATAAATAAAGTAAGAGTTGCGTGAGCAAAAGCACTCGACTGCGTTGACAGACTGAGACCGGCAAGGACTACTGAGAGTCATGACTAATGGGCAGATAGTGTGTACAGTGTATCCACACAAGAAGTAAGGGTGGTTCATGTCCGGGGGGACTTCAGTACACTACCAAGAATGGCATGCAGTTTAAAAACTATGTGTTATTTACTTCTGGAACTCTCTATGTAACATTTTCAGATAACAGTTGACCATGGGTAACTGAAACCATGGAAAGTGAAACTGTGAATAAGGGTGGGGAGATTAACGTATAGTTTAGTTGTTTTCTCCCTCACAGTAGGTGTTGAACTCAGGACCACTGCATCGAATCACACAGAACGTCTACAATCTGTTTCTTTTTTTAAGATTTTGAGACAGGATCTCATTTAATTGCCCAGCCAGGACTTGAACTTGAGTTCCTGCTGCCTCAGCCTCCTGGATTGTTGGGATTACAGGCATGCATTACACTGCTTACTGTCTGGACTTTTGACCACCAAGAGAGATAGAGACAGAGACAGATACAGGAGGAGAGAACATGGAAAAAGAAAGGAGTCCTTTATTGTGGACACAAGAGGACTGCAGAAAAGAACCTTCAGAGGGATACAAAGAAAACTTAGTGCTTTTATTTGGTTTTGAAAGCAGGGGGTGGGGTAGAAGGGGCGGGCAAAATGACATGTTGACAGCTGATTGGGGGAGCCTTGGAGCACATAAAGCCGGAGGTGGAGGTTTGACTTTTAGGTTTGCAAGAAGAAGGCAGAAATGAGTGCTGAAGGAAGGCGTGTCCAGCGCCATGTTCACTGGAAGGAGCACACATAGGAAAAACCCTTCACTTACTAGATGGCAGCATCGTGCTCTGCTCTTTATAGTTTGTATCTTATTTAATCCTGCTAATGTCCATCATTAGATATGAAGAACATATGTCATAAATTTCAAAAACCTACAATATACTTATGCTGCTGCTTCTTTTTTTCTTTCAGAAAAGCAATAGAAAACCTAAACACAAAAATTAGTATGATGCTAAAACCTAGGGGAACAGTGGAGGGAAAACAGAGACAAATAAATGGGCTGCAAATTTATTCAGTGTAATTTCAGAAGACAAACTCTGATTCAAATAGGATCTGATAAAGTTGGGTACTGGGTACATAAGCATTTACTATCTAATTCCCTTCTACGTCTTTCTGTGTTTAAAACATTTCATTATGAGGAATAAAAATACCACATATAGAAGATAAAAATTTAAAGTATATACTCAAACCATTAATATATGTATCAAAAAGATATGTAAATAATTAGACATCTGTATGTATAACCACACAAGCACACACTTATTTATACACACAGCCACATACAAGTACTTCATATTTGGAATATACAACTATGCGTTTTTTGTTGTTGTTGGTATCAGGAATCGAACTCATGACCTCGTGCTTCCCAGGCGGGCACTATGCCACTGAGCTATATCTCCGGCCCAATAGGCAGAATTCTTAAGGGTGTTTTTTCCTGGGGAAGAGGAGTAAGATGAGTTACTAAGTATTAGGCTAAAAGGATATTTTAGCTGGATATGTTATATATTAATAATTAATGTTAAAAAGTATATTAATATGTCATATGTTTGCATTGATCAGCTTTTTTCATAGAAATATGGATGTGTGGTAAACCAAATCTACTTTGTATTATGTATTTCCATCTTTCAAAACAGTTTTAAAAACCGTTAACCATTTGACAGACATCTGGAACTTATTGTATATAAAAGATTAATGTTTGAGTCAATAAGAATACCTTAACAATTAAATGTTTTATCAACCCATATATTAGGAATGTCAGTGCAATATTAGATAAATTAACTGTGGATCATGTTTTGTTTTGTATTTTTTAAAGAATTCAGGTCAACGACCAGATCGTGGAAGTGGATGGAATCAGCCTTGTGGGTGTCACACAGAATTTTGCTGCAACTGTTTTGAGAAACACCAAGGGCAATGTCAGGTAAATATGTGGCTTCAGAGATATGCTATTGCTGATATATGGTTTGTTGAATTTTGGTTTTCTCTACTTTTACGTAGAAATTGTAAGTATTTACAATGAAAGTTTTAATTGAATTGAATTGAATAATAAAGACACAGCAAATCAGTATGGTTAGTTATTGAGTTATGTGCTTCGTTGCTAATTGTAGTGGTTGATACATTGTGTCAGTTTGAGAAATCTAGATGCTTAACTAAGTAATCCAGCAGTTCTACATCCTAGAGTGTAGAGGACATGCCCCATGTTCTAGGATGTTACTCATTGCGGCAGTTTGAGAAGTTTACAAGTTTAAGTGACTCAGAAGGGGACCAGAGTCTTCACTTTGTAAACATTCTCAGCTTGTGCAAGAGAAGAGCATTGAGATGGTGTGAGTTCCATACCCACCTGAGGGCATTAGCCTGCATGCAACATAAGGTAGGAAAAGAGACTTGCTGTCTCCCCGACCCAATCTTTGGCTCTTGCTCTTTTGCTGTCTTCTGCTGCCTTGAACTGTTGCCCTCTACCATGCCACCTTGCCTTGGAGCCAACTGATTATGAACTGAAACCTCTGCAAGCTGAGAGCAAAATAAACCTTTCCTTCCTTAATTTTGGGCATCAGGCATTTTGTCTCAGGAATTAAAGAAAAGTAACTTAGACACTAATATAGTAAGAATTATTAGACAGTATTTCTGGTTGTAGCTTTAATAAATATTAATTTAAATCCTAAATCCTTTTAACAAAACCAATTATACAGTTACAAAACCAATTACATGTATATTTAATGAGACACATTCTAGTGATATCTCTGTTCACAAGCTTAATTCTTTCTGTGATTCTGGTTGCAAACCAAATTGGATGAGTACTGAATTGAATTTTCTCATAAGGTCAACATTGAACCTAACCAGGGACCAGAGTTGTGGAAAGAATTAAGTTCATGCACCAAGGTACCACCACTGTATTTGGACAAATAGGCAGAATGGTTTGAGGCTAAGTATATTTTAAAAATCTACTTACTGTTTTTATTTTTTTTTATTTGGTTTGAAGGGTAAGGGTTTTTTTTTTTTATAAATTATGAAGTGTAACAATTAAAGAGCATATTTTGAAAGAAAATTCCACAATCCCATTCTGCTTACTGTTTTAAAGACTTGGCTAGTTACCAATCTTTGTTGAAGTGTAACTTTCCTATCTTAATTGGACAGAAAATGAGTAAAGAAGCCATCCTGAGCCTACTAAAATGAAGGTTTAAAATCAGTTTATTTGATAATAGTTTACTTTTTAAAAATAGCATTATTTATATCTTAATGCTTTTCCAAAGTCATATAATGGAACACATTAAAGAGACTTTCAGTATCTGTAATTAGGGAAAATGGTATAGTGCCTCATGATAAATTGAGGCTACCAAACATTCTGAAAATACACATGTGTTAACATAAAGAGAGCAGCATTAGAGTTTCACTGCAGCATATTTGATGTTGTGCAAACTTGAGTTCAAGCATTAGACCTCTAGTGGGAAAGCACCGTTGATACTGAAAGGCTGATTGAAGGAATCAACCTGAATGATTTATACAGGCATTGTGTTGATGTTTCTAGGATACTGCTTTGACTACAAACCTGAGAAAAAGCAAGAGTAGAGGAAAAACCACGGAAGCTCTTTCAGAGCTGCGTAGGAAGACTCTTAAGTAAATACGATCACCTTTTTCCAGATCACCGTGTTCTTGAGAAGGCACCTTCCCATGTCAGTATCGCACTTGTTTTGGAGCTGCCTGTTAGACTTTAAGATACATTAAAACACTAAAGAAGCAAGATACACACTCAGACTTGCAAGAACATTTCTTAGTTAGAAAACAGTTTATCGTGACATGAAATCATACTCATTCCTTTCACATATGACTGTTGACCACATAATTTTGTGATGTTATCAAGATTTGTACAGATTGAAAATTGCATCTTCACTGGTCACCCTAATTTCACTGTTTGCCTCTTTTGGATTGTCTTAATCTTTCTCCTAATGGAAGAACATAATTACAGTTTTCAAGCATGTGACAGGCTATCAAGGAAAAGGCATCAACTTTCTGTTTACCGCTAGTAGTAGAAAAATGACTTCACAAGTAGTCAACATAATAATCCTGCCTCCATCACATCGATCTCTTCTTCAGTGTTTCTGAAGAAGTGGTCCTCCATTCTGGGTGAGATATACATTCTTGGCCTGGTGTTAAACGTCTCTCAGCACATGATGGTGACCTTTCCAGGTGCCTTTATATTCATTTGATGCTTTGGTGTCATCATGTGGTGGCACTGTGCTTCAAACATGACTTGTGAGTTAGATTTTTTGTGCCTCTCTTTCTGCTGTTTTCTTGTGTTTAAAATGCTGTCTTCAGTTCTAAAGGCGGTACTTCTAAAGGACCTCTCCTAAAGAACCTATGGCAGCTCTTTTCCTCCAGGAAGTCCTGATCCTCTGGTGGCTCTTCTTTTTCGTAATGCTCCTTATTTGTACTACTTGTCTGACCTTGAGGCTACAAAAGTAACTGCTCTGTTATTAAAAGACATGTGTCTTATTTCTCACTAATTTTACAAAAATCTTGATGTGAACATGGAAGTTTAGGTCCCTTTACTTTTTTCTTAAATTATTTTATTGCAGGATCTTAATTTACTGAAATTACTCGATCTAGCATCTAAATTAATAGGCTATGAAGAACACATCAATGTTATCTTAAAAATATTTGAATCCTCTGAGTGTATTACTGGAGAGTAACTCTTCATAAGGTTCTAATGCAAAAACAAGATTCAAAAACCTGTTTCTTTATTTTTGAGGTACTGGGATTTGAACCCAGGGCTTTGCACCTGCTAGGCAAGAGTGCTACACTGAGCTGTATCTGCAACTTTAGACCTGTATTTTTAATGAAATGTGCTTTGAAAATCTAACATATATGTGAGTCTATATTTCTTACTCATTAGAGACCTCAATATGGCTTTTAGTAATTACTAAAATGTATTTTCTTTTTGTCTTTTTTTCCTTTTTATCAGTACTGGGGATCGAACTCACGACTCCTGCTTGCAAGGCAGGCGCTTATGGTGCTGAGCTAAATCCCCAGCCCCCTAAAATGTGTTTTCAAAAGGCTGAAAAGCTAATATGTTTAGTTTAAACTTTTCTAACCACAAAGCACATACCTGAAAGGAATATGTAGAGCTCACAGCTTTAAAGATCTAGGAGGAAGATCTGAAGCTAAAGAAAATTGAAATGGATGTGGATTGTGATTGTTTTTAAGTATTAGAGATTAAGTTTTTTTTTTTTTTTTCTGGAACTGTATATTAAATACATGCCAGCATTTGGATATAAATCAGAGTTACACAGATTCCTATAACTTTGTTCTCATAAGTGTAAGCAATCTTTTTCTATCTTTCTAGTCCATATGCTTTATTTTATTAACCTTTGAGTGCTCATACTTAATTTGGGAATTAATAAAATAGAAGAAACCACATTAGAAGCATCTTTTAACTAATTGGAGAAAAAAAATACAGGTATTTTAATTTGATAAATTTTGAGGGAGTATTTCTTAACCGTATATTGTTTTTATGAGATGCAGCATATTAGAAGAGATTCATCTCAAACTATGTTAGGATCCTGGAAGATATTGGAAGCCCAGGCCTGGTTCAAAGTATTAGTAAACTGCTTTTATTTCCCGGATTTATGGGCATCATTTTATAACTATTAACAATGAGAAATGTGTTATATATATTCAGTACTTTGTTAAGGAAGGAACTCATAAGACTCAAGCAATTTATGCTCAGTATAATATAATGCAGTAACAGAAGGATATACATGTATGTGTGTGTATTTATGTATGTATTAAAGGGTAGATATGGCCAACTCAGCCACAGTATTCTTCTCACACCTGGGTCTCACAGAACTCATTATTTTACTGTGATGGGTATGTACATAAAGCACCTTGGTACCAAAAATTCCATAGTCAGTTTGTGGTAAGGATCATGTAGATACATTTCTACTACATGAACACTAAATGACCAGCCTCATCCATTAAAAATACCCAGGGTTAATTTCTTACTCAGGATTTTCCTGAGAACAGAACCAAGATGATGCAGGGAAGATGAAAGGATAGGTAAATAGATAGGTGGATATATAGGTAGATAGACAGACAGACAGAGGACAGAATTGGTTCATGCATTTATGGAGACCAAGAAGACAGGTGATAAATACAAGGGACACGTGCTACACTAATGCCAAGTTTTACAGAAGGAACTGAGGTACAGGGAGATTTAAACACTTGTGTAAATTCATAAAACCATCAAATGATTGAGTAGGAAACTGAACACAGGAGATCTAGTTTAAGTTAAAAAAAAAAGCAGTTATCAGAAAAATTTGTCCTTGGGAACTGGTCTCAACATCAGAGAAAAATATCAATAAATGTTTTATGTATTACTAATGGTTTCTAACAGTCATCTCTAGGATTTGACCTATAGGATAGCAGTAGTGTAATTCAGTACACATCTCCATCATTCACAGAGAATAAACACAAGGGATTGAATCAGCTTTATAAATTTATGACTCTGGAATAATGCTAATGCATGGCTAAATTCTATATACAAAAATAAATGGAAAATAGTTTTGTATAACTTTGAATTAATCTGTTAATATCTAGTGATTTCTATGTTCTTTTGATATACAAGTGGTTTTTAGCCCTTTAAAACTATTTTTTATTATTTTCTCTTGATGAATTTATAATTTATAGTTCAGAATTAATTTCCCCATATGTAAACATACCCAACAAACATAATTGGGCTTTTAAAGATCTCCAAGAAGGGGCTGGGGGTTTAGCTCAGTGGCATAAGCCTTGCAAATGTGCGGTCGTGAGTTCAATCCCTGGTACCGATAAAAAGGAAAAAGACAAAAAAAAAAAAAAAAAAAGATCTCTAAGAAAACTATCATTTAGCATTCTAATAGATAAATGAGCCTTGAATCGGTAAAT